ACTATTAACGGGAAACCGGTAAAACTGCTGCTCGGAATTTGAGAGTAGCGCCAAAATCAGCTAGTTTGATTAAAATTTGAACGTAATTTATTATTTTAATTGAGAGCAGTTTTATCCGTGACAATATCATGCCATCATGCTCTATTTACATTTATTTATAGAAAATAATCGGCCCACACGCCATCACACGTTTCATGAAACGGGTCTTTTAATACTAGGGGTAAGTTCTTTGGGTCCAAACCGTGGACTTTGGGCGCACCGCTCGGGTCATCGTTTAAGAGTTGCGGCCAATCACGGTTCAAATGTCTATAATTATCATGGGTAATTTTGTATATTATTACTCTAATCACAGATACTAAAATATAATTTTCTAAAACTTAACCATGTAAAGAATGTTTTTATAGATAATAACAATGTTATTTACCCATCGGTGGCAAACTTTGTCCACATTTTCATTATATAATTGGAATAAAATAAATCTTCTGGAGTGTAATTATTGGGATCGAGTAATGGTAAACCAAATACAAAAGGTAAATCCATGGCGTGACAAATGCCCACGGTCTTTACATCACAGTTCATCAGCTTAGCAAAATAATTAGTTGCGTACAACAACTCGTAAAAGTAAACCCTTTGCGACTCTTTGACAGTTTGTGCGAATCGTTTGGCGAACAGATATGTCGGACAACCGAGCATTAAATCACCCGCTAATGCGCTAAAAGCTGTTCGTAGAGCGAGTGAATCGCTAGTATTAACACCTTTCAGGTAATGTGCCGTTACTTTCGGCACATCTATGTTGTGATACCCACTGCTTTCGTCCAAAGCTTTTAACCCGTTGTAAAAATCATTAAGTGTCATATGATCAGGGTCCTTGATCACTAGATAGCTAAGCTTTGAGCCCTCGTCGTGTGTAATACCAGCGATTAAGTCAACATCTATTTATGTAAACAATTTTATTATAAATATTAAAATCCTATTAATATACTAATAATTTAATCAAAGTACCTGTGTTCAACTTTTTCTCATTAAAAGCTTGATGTGGACTAGTGTCGGTAAAGTGAATCATGTTTCACGTGATTCACGCTCACTCACGCTCACGGGCCGTGATCGTGAGTGAACGTGAATAATTTTAGACATCCCGTGAGTGAGTGTGATTCACGATTGAAATTTTTCCGTGAGTGTGATTCACGCCACTCACGATTTATTTAATAAGAAACCAGATAATAATGAAATATGTTAAATAATTTTATAAAACTTTAGGCTTTTGTTTATATATATATTAATATT